GGACTGGGGGTTGTCAGCCCTTGGTTTGGCCCCACCACTGCTCTGCCAGGGCGGGGGAGGCTGGCAGCCCAGGTTGTGGGGCCAGAGGGCCATGCTGTGACAGACGAGAAGAGGGAGTGACCTGGAGGACCCAGGGCAGGGACCAACAGCAAATGCCTCCCTAGGTGGTCTCTCCAGGACAGATGTGTCCCCTGTGGGAGGGCTGAGGCGCCCAGCAAGAGCAGCAGCTCCTCGGGGCACGGGGACCCAGTGGGCTGAATGGGACTCTTGGAATAGAAGGAGCCTCTCCAGACTCAGCACTGCAGGTGGAACGGGGAGGCAGGACCTGAGGCTCCTCGTGGGGAGGCAGCCTTGCCCTGCGAGGTCTCCCTCAGGGGGCAGAAGAGCCAGGGTGCCCCGCCAGCAGCAGAGAACAAACCCCAGTTCAAGGCGAACCCCAGGTGTGGGGTGGGTGTAAAAGCAGGTGGCCTTGACCATGAGTGGACAGGTGAGGGGCAGACAGGTGTGAGCAGGTGAGGGGACAGGTGGGAGACACATGGAGGGTGGGGGAAGATGGGGACAGGAGAAGAGGCAGTGGGGGCAGATGTGGGGCAGTTGGAGGTAGGTGGGGGTGGATGGCATCGGTTGGGGGTGGATGGGGTTAGGTCTGAGCAGGTGCGGGGTGGGTGGGGGGCACGTGGAGGGGGCTGGAGTTGGTGTGGGCAGGTGTGGGCAGGTGCAGGGCAGTGCCGGGGAGGCACTGTCAGGTGAGTGTGGGGCTGGGCAGAGGCTGACCTGGGATACCAGGGCTGCTGCTCAGAACCTGCTCTCTGGGTAGGCAGCCGGGCTCCATCAGGTGTGACCGCCCACTGCACAGAGGAGTGGAGGCTGGAGGCCCAGACACCTGCAGGGGCTGGGAGGGATGTGGGTGAGTCTGGCTCCTCCCACACCCTTCGTCCCAGCAGCGTCCATAGCCCTGGCCCTGGCTGTCCCTGACGTCCCCTCTAGTGGGCACCCCCGGCTGGAGGCAGCTTGCGTCAGGGACCTGGAGAGTGAGTGGCGAGCCCACCACAGGGGGATCCTACAGACGCTGCTACCACTGACCAATGGCGCCGGTAGCTGGTTTAAAAAAGAAAGGGCAGCACGGAGGCCGCCCGGAAGAGCCGGTGTTTCCATGAGCCGCGCTTACAGACGGTGGCAGAGGGTCCGGCTGCCTGACCGTGCGCTGTGTTTACAGATGCGCCTGACCTCATATTGTTCAAGTCGCACGTCCTGCCTATCAGGGATGCTTTCAGACTCTACGTGGGAAGCCCTTGGCTGCTGTGTGAAGGTCGGGTCAGGGGGTGGCTGAGGCTGTCCAGGGGAGTGGTCAAGGGCTTGGGGAAGCAGAGGTAGACTCACCAGGTGCTGGTGCTCAGCGGGGCTGGGGAACACCAACTCGACCCACGCCCTGGCTGGGTCACCCCGTTCCTGCTGGGGCTTGATGCCAGGCAGAGCGGGTCAGGCCAGGAGAGGCCTGGGGCCAGCCTGGGGAGCAGAGCTGCTCAGCGGGGCAGAGGTCCTCCTCCGGGCACTGGGCTCAGGGCCCAGTGGCCAGATGGTTTTCTTTGCTGCAGGGAGTGCCGGCTGTAGGGGGAGGCCTGGGAGGGCTTGTGCAGCTGGGCCTCTCTTGGGCTTCTCTGCTGTTGTTTTTTGCTGGAAAATCAATCCTGCAAGTCCAGCTGGGCTCTGGCTGAGCGCAGCTAGGGGTGGGGTGGTGGGTGCTTTCCGGCCTCTACGGGGCAAGTTCTGGGCCCACAGTGGGGAGAGAAGGCAGGATGGGGTGCGGCCCCAAAGAGCCTGGCTCCCCCTACTCTGTGCCCTGCTTGGGTCACCCCAGAAGGACTGTCCCCATCCTCCCAACTTCCTGCCCAGGCCCCCAGAGCTACCTGCAGCCTCCCCTTGCTCCCGTGCCCAGGCAGAGGTCTACAGGAGACCAGAGCCAGGGTATTCATCAGCAGCCACAGGAGAGTTCCCCACCAAGGCGCAGTAGCCTGAGGAGCTGGGGCCGCCCGACCCTCCCCAGCTCCACCCCTCTTGCCTCTGAGCCCTACCCAAGGCCTGGAGAATCACTGCTTCCTCCTGCTCCAGGGGTTCCAGCAGAGCCGTTGGAGGGTGTACCTGCCGCGTTCTTAGCCCTCTCTGCCGACCTTTCTTGAATGGACTCTGGCCACGGTGCCAACGCGTCAATGGCCTGTGCCTCTGCTGTCCGAGCTCAGGGGCCGTCCATGCCTCCGAGGCTGGCATACGGCAGCTCTTGTTTTACCCATGAGGGGGAAGCCCAGGACCTGTGCCCTTGATCACACGTCCAGTTCACACAGACGCACACGCACATGCCTGCCCACCAGGCAGACACCCACGCACCTGCACGCAAGCGCACGCCAAGCCAGCGGGCCCAGTTCCTGCCCCGGAGTCCCTGGTGTCAGAACTAGGCTGCTGTGGCTGTTCCCTCTTCAATATGCCTGAGTTTTATGAGCCCAAATTAATAGACCTTTGTTGCTACATATAAATTTGAGGATAAAATTGTTGAATCTGTTCAACGTAAGCAGTTGAAATTTTGCCTGGGGTGGTGATGAATGTCTCTAGCACTTGGTAAAATGTATTTAAAGGGCATGTATTTGACGACATTAACAGCCCGCCGCCCGCAAGCACAGCCCGTCTCGTCATCTGGCGGCCTCGTCGTTCACCACAGTTGGCGGCCCCAGTCACTCCCACGGTCTTTACCAGCCGGGTGCCAGTGGCTGGGACCAGGTTCTGACCACTGTGCCCACTCACTGTGGAATCGGGCGAGCGGGCCAGACCCTGCGTCGTAAGGACAGAGCAGGACATGTCCTGTCACAGGGCACCCGCTGTCTGCAACTTTTGTTTGTTTCTGTCCCAGGTTGGGCGGGACAGTTGGCGGGCACCACAGGCGCTCCTGTGAGGCCACCTGGCCAGTCCCAGGATTAGCTGCAGGCTTTGGCTGATTTTCTTGAGTCTTGTACACAGATGCTTGTCAGCAAATACCAGCGGCTTATCTCTTTCCTTCCAACATGCAAACCTTATTTCATGTTAGGTTTTGGCACAACCTCCAGTCTAATACCAACCTCGAGGGAAATAAACAGTGCTGCCCATTTCACAGGCCAGGAAACTGAGGCTGAGGGCCCCCCAACACCGCCGACATCCTGCTACCCCGCACCCTTGCTAGGCGTTGTTTTTTGCTGGAAAATCAATCCTGCAAGTCTTGCTGGGCGGGGTGACTCCCCCGAGGTGGCACCAAGGGGAGGTTCGTTTCGAGGCTCAGAACACTTTTCTGACAGTTTTCTGTCCCTTACATCCCAGACTCAGTCACACTTCAGCGTCCCGGCTCCCTGGCCGCCAGCCTCACACCACGGACAGCCCTTGGAGGTGTTCTATTCCTGCCCTGACCCTTCTACTTGGAAACATGGAAACAATGAGGCCAGCTGAGTGGGAGCCTCCAGGCCTGTGTCCAGAGCTAGTTCCCGGTGCCTGGCTGCCTCTCGGGGCGGGGCCTGTCTCCAGTTGGAGCTGGGAGGGCGGCCTACCCTGCCACAGGCCAGCCCCACCCTCGGCTGCTGTGGGGGCTGACCAGGGCCCAGTGACCCAGCCCAGGGCTTGCCTGTGCAAAGGCTGGAGCCAGCGGTCAGCATGGAACTCCTGGTCTTCCCACTGACACCTCTGCAGCCCACACCGGCGATATCAGAAAACATCAGCTCCAGCCCGCAGCCCAGACACTTGAAGTCACCTTGGCTGCCCCTCCTCACACCCATGCCCACGTCGGCGAAACCAGGGCTGGCTCCTTAACTGTGTCCAGAATCCACCCTTCCCACCCGCCCAGGCCACCTCCCTTAGCGACCCAGGGGCTCCAGAATGAGCCCCAGACAGGTCAGAGATGGGCTGGGCGGCAGGGAACAGAGGCCTGTCATGAGGCGGGGCTGCCCTCGGCGTGGGTCTCAAGACCGGGAGCCACTGCCCATACCCAAGAGACCTCTGTGGGCACTGGGGTGCAGAGCCAGGTAGGAGGGGGCACCCCTGCCAAAGGCAGCAGCCTCCCCTCTGCTTCTGCTTCAGATGGGGCCGGGAGCAAGGGGAGGCTGACACTTGGGGGCTGACGCTGCAGGGTCTGGACACTTGGGGTAGCAGGAGAACCCATCTGCACGCAGGGAAAGGCTCGGGATGGGGACGTCCCGAGGGGACCCGGGTTCCCCCAGCACCCGCTGCAGCCCCTCCTTGCGCCACCTGGACCCGCCTGCAGGAGTTTGCCTGGAAACGCTCCTCTGGGGTTTCTGTGGTACTTTTTTCACTTGGAGATTCGGTATCAAAGTTAACGTACGCTTATAAACGAGCTGGGACTCTGCTGATGTGCACAGACCACACTCCCCAAAGCAGCTCTGAGAAACCAGGAGGCTGGGATTTCGAGAAGGACGCCAGTAAACTGTTTTCAGTATGAGCTGCGGGCTGATACTTCCCCTGCGGGGGTGTCTCCTCCTGTGGCTGAACATCCAGCCCAGCTGTGGGCCAAGGTGAGGTGCGACCCCTTTTGGCTTTTTTGCACATTTCTGTAGGCTGGGTGACCCATGGTCTGGGGAACTTCCTCAGTCCTGACATCTGCTTTCCTTCCTCCTCCTGTGGCCCACAGTCTTCCCAGGTCACAGGCCGGCCTGCGGGAGGTATGCCAAGAAGGGAGGGGGTGGACAGTGGGGCAGGCCCGGCCTGGCACACTGCTTCCCTCCCCGAGGGGCACTTCGGGCAGGCCACCTCCAAGCCAGGACCCTACAGCATCCCACAGACCCAGTGGGCAGAGACACAGGCCCGGTACACACAGAGACCACTGCCCAACCTGCCACTGCACTGTCTCTGAGTCTCTCTTAGGCTGCCTACTTCAGAGAGGCTGAGCTAGGCCCTGGAGGTCACCAGAGCCAGGACTGAGGCTCACCCGTGTCCTCATGAGAGAAAGCCACTAGAACAAATGCTAGGCACACTGGCTCTTTCCGGGATTTTTATTTCTTTAAAATAATTCATACAAATGGTTACAGTCACAAACATGATTTTAACCAAAATATTGCTAGCCTACCACATCAGCAGGACGGCACTGGTGCAGGCGGGGACGCTGCCACCCTCCACATCCCCAGGACAGATGTCGATGGGCAGCGGGCACGCTGGGCACCGCCCAAGCTTTTCCTTTTGGAGCTGCTTCGTGATGCCGTCTTCATTTGGAACAAGGGGGGGTTCATGCCAAAATTAGGAAAAACAGCTTTGTTTTGTTTTTCTAAATTATTCTAAAAATAAGACAAGCAGGTAGAAAAAACAATGCACTGTGTGGCATAAAAAGAAAAACGGGAAGGATTCATTGTCCTGAGAAGTTTGCCAACTGCCTCATTCTGGGGCACGTTCCAACATACAAAAAAAAAGAAAAAAAAAAAAAACCAAAAAAAAAAAAAACCCTCAAATTGACTTCCGAATGCTCCTTCAGGTTTTCTTTTTGTTGACAGCTAAGCAAACAGATTCTTTGTAATGTTCTAAAAACTGTACACAGACAAGAACGTTCGTGGGAGAGTAACTACTGACTTCTTCTGCTTAACGAGGAACGCGAAGGACACGGGGCAGAGCGCCCACAGGACGGACGACAAGCGACACGAGGCCCAGCGCTGCCCCCTCCCGCCTCCTGACAGCCCGGACCAGTCTCTGCAGTGCCAGGGCCGCCACACAGGCACCTCCTCCACACACTCTGGTCCGAGGGTTTCCGGGCCCTCTGCCCAGGCGCTGAGGCTGGAGAGCTCCTCCCGGGCTACAACTGGTCACTGGCGTGGTCTCTATCTGCCTCGGGCTTGACGGTTTGGCCAGGAGAAGGGGCATGGGGTGGGTGGGCCACAGGGGGCAGGCCATGGGACAGGGACATGGCGCTGGGGACGATACCTTCCACAGCAGCTGGGATGCCAGTGGGGGCCACGCCCACCACGCCTGGAGGGTACCTGCTGGGAGAGGGTCCGTCTGTGAGGCCCCCCTACAGGCAGCCTGACCGGGCCCCACCTGCCCTCATAGCGTCTGCAGCACTGAGGGGGCGGCTCCAGGGGGACCAGTAGTCAGGGTGAGGATCCCGCCTCCGCACGGATGCTCCCGCCTACGGGGGCTACTTCTCAGGGCAGGGGAGGGGAGCCCTGGTGTCTCCAGGCGACTTGAACATGAGGTCTTCGCCTCACCCAAAGCCCCCTCCTCCCACAGGCCCCGTGCCCACAGTAGTCCTGTGTGCACTGGGTCCTGAAGGCCACCCCAGCTCCTTCCAAGAGGCCCTGGTTCTCATAGGCCTTTCGGGTGAGGTGGGCCTTACCAGTTCCACCCAGATCCTCCAGGTCAGTCAGTGGAGATGCCGCCCCTCCCGCCAGGGGCTGTGCTGGGATCCAGGGGAAGCCTCGGGCCCTCCTGGTGGCTGTTCCGGGCCAGCGGGCCTGCTCACCTATAGGCGGCCCCGTTGAGCTCAGGGTGCACGACAGCGGGGTCCATGCTGGCCCAGTGGGTGGCTGCCGTCAGATGGTCCTTGTTGACACAGTTCTTCAGGCTGTCTGGGATCCGGCCTGGGAGACGCAGGAGGGAGGAATAGCTGTGGCTCTGAGGGGGGCCCAGGAGCGTGGCCCACTGGGTTGAAGACACGGGCTGTAGGGCTCTCGGCAGTGTGCTCCTCCCTCTCAGCCCCGGGGCTCCCAAGGCATGGCAGGTTCCTGTCTCTCAGGGCACCAGAACCCTCGCAGTGTGGGGACCCCCAGCCCAGAGCATGTACCCAGTTTGCTGAGGGACCTGTCTGCTCAGCCCAGCAACGTCCCAGCAGCTCTTGTGTGTAAGACGACGCCAGGGCTCAACCTGACTTTGGCCTTAGAGGTCCCGGGCCCTGAGCTGGCAGAACATGGGCCTGGCTGCCGGGCGGATGTGAGCCCATGAGCCAGGCCTGGGGCTGGCAGGAAGGGTCCCCCAGGCCCACCTGTGATGGCTCTGCGGATCTCCCGTGCCGCCTCCTCTCGCATCTCGATGGACGCCTGCTCGCTGTACCACGCAGCGTGGGGGGTGCAGATAAGATTGGGTGCATCCTTCAGGGGGCCCTGGCTAAAGCTGGGAACAGCGCAGCATGGTCAGTGCAGCCTGAGTGCTGTGGCTGGGTGCGGGGGGGAAGTGGCTGGGCACTGGAACCCCTGTGGGGGGGCCCTGCCTGGGACCCACAGACCCCACGGCCCCGCTCCGCTCAGCAGGCGGGCTGAGCACAAGAGCTCAGCCCCAGGACCATCAGACACACCAGGGGCTCCTGACAGCAGCGGGTGTGGGAGCCCAAAGGATTTAATCTCCAAGCCCCTTGGGGGAGGAGCCCTGATGGGGGGACATGCTGGCCTGGCCCCTCCTGGCCGAAGGTCCTGTAGCCCCAGGAGCTGCAGGCTGGTACTGCCCCTGCGGGGTGTCTCCTCCTGTGGCTGACCATCCAACCCAGGGCTGCCTGGGGTCCCAGGGCGCTGCAGGGATTGCAGATCTGGACGTGATGCCGTGACTCCATGGCCAGGGCCCGTGGGGACCACTCACGGCCTGGCTGGTGGGGAGCCCTGCCCGAAGAGGGGCTGAGGAGGACGATCAGCCCTCACAGGACCGAGGCGAGGCAGGCCTGGAGCCCGTGGCTCCATCCTCACCCCACAGTGAGCAGCAAACTCCCCCGTGCCGGCCAGCGAGAGGCCTGAGTACAAGCAAGTGCCCGGCCTGGCGGAGGCGCCATCTGCAGGTCAAGGCCGGCAGGATGGTGGGCAGGGAAGAGCAGGGGGTGACACTGGCTGTGAGGGCACCTGAAGGGTTCCGACTCGTGCACGTCCAGGGCCGCGCCGCGGATCCGGCCCTCCTTCAGGGCCTGGGCCAGTGCCTTCTCGTCCACCAGGCCGCCCCGGGCCGTGTTCACCAGGAAGGCCCCTTGTCTCATCTGGAAGACATGAGGACAGGCCAGGCCCAGTCAGGGTTCCGCGCAGGGCGAGCGGCCAGGGAAGCAAGGTGGTCACGCACGCTGCTGAGGAGGACCAGCTCCCTGGCCCCTTCCCAGCCCAGGCCCACCCTGGGCTCACCAGGGTGCTAGGACTTAAGACCTCAGGCGTGCTGCGCCACGGCCCTGGCAAGCTGGCTGAGGTTCGGCCCTGTGCAGACCTGCACGGCCCCACACCTCCTAGAGAGCTCTATGTTCCTGCCCAAGCCCTGAGCTGAGGACTGGGTGGGGGCTCCTGGCTTGGTCCCCCTGTGGTACCCCTTTTCTGGGTCCCCTCCAGCCCAGCCTCCCCCAACAGGGCCTCGGCCCACGAGGTGGGACTCCCTGGGATGACAAAGCCCAGGGCCGTCTACTCTGAGGCGTGGTGTTTGACTCCAACCCCAGTGGGGCCTGCAGCAGAGCCTCTGGACAGGCTCACTTTTCATGCACTTTTGCAAAAGGCCCTTGCAGTGGCTCCCTGTCAGCTTCGTGGCCAGGGCTTTCCTGCAACCCCCCCATTTCATTCCGAGGAAGCCCATCCAGCCATCGCGCTTGGGTGGCAGCCGGGTGGGTCACGGTGGCTTTTCTTTTTTTTTTTTTTTTTTTTTTGAGACAGAGTCTCGCTCTGTGGCCCAGGTTGGAGTGCAGTGGCGCAATCTCGGCTCACTGCAAGCTCCGCCTCCCGGGTTCACGCCATTCTCCTGCCTCAGCCTCCTGAGTAGCTGGGACTACAGGCGCCTGCCACCACGCCCGGCTAATTTTTTGTATTTTTTTAGTTGCTACGGGGTTTCACCGTGATCTCGATCTCCTGACCTTGTGATCCGCCCGCCTCGGCCTCCCAAAGTGCTGGGATTACAGGCGTGAGCCACTGCGCCCGGCCACGGTGGCTTTTCTTTGGTGAGTTGCTGCCCATTGCAGCCTCACACCCAAGGTCCTCAGGGATGGCAGGGCCCTGACCAGCATCCACGTGCCACACCCTGTCCACTAGAAGGCTCCAAACCCATTGGCTCTGTGAACAAAGGAAGGGGAGGCGGGCACCTGGTTTCATCCTCCCTGTGGCTACAGGCTGCTGGGGCAGCTTGAGTGGGGTGGGTGGCCTCTGACACGTGTGTACACACACACACATACAAGCTCAAATGGGCAGACACAGGCACCCACACACACTTGCCCACATACACACACATCACCGTGCACACATAATGACTCCCTGAAAGGCCAACAGCCAGCGGGAGGCAGCCGTCCCCAGCTCCGCCCACCTGAGCTCCACCCACCCGAGGGAAACACGGGCTGAGGCTGCGCTCCGCGCTCCGCTGAGGCAGAGGCCGACCTGAGCACAGCCCTCTCCAGCTGCAGATGTGAAACCTGAACCTGTCAGCACAGGACGGAAGTCAGAAGGACAGGCCCAATGCCCCCAGGTAGCTGCATCATCTCCACTGTGACAGTGGCAAGAGCTTCAGGGGAATTTAAGATTCAAAGGTATGTGGTTCTGTCTTGTCCACAGAGTATTTCAGGCATCCTGGGTAGAACTCAGAACATGGAAAACGCCGTCTGGGTCACGGCCTGGCTGGTGGGGAGCCCTGCCCGAAGAGGGGCTGAGGAGGACGATCAGCCCTCACAGGACTGAGGCGAGGCAGGCCTGGAGCCCGTGGCTCCATCCTCACCCCACAGTGAGCAGCAAACTCCCCCGTGCCGGCCAGCGAGAGGCCTGAGTACAAGCAAGTGCCCGGCCTGGCGGAGGCGCCATCTCTGGACAAGACAAGAAACCACATACCTTTGAATCTCATAAAATTCCCTGAAGCTCTTGCCACTGTCACAGGTGGAGCATGATGCAGGCTACCTGGGTGGCATTGGGCCTGTCCTTCTGACTTCGTCTGTGCGAACAAGGTTTTCAGGTTTCACATCTTGCAGCCTGGGAGGGCTGGCTCAGGTCGCCTCTGCCTCAGCCGGAGCGCGCGCAGCGCAGCTCAGCCCTGTGTTTCCTCGGGGTGGTGGAGCTCAGAGTGGCGAGCATGAGGACGAGAGGCGGTGCCTCCCGCTGGCTGTTGGCCTTTCAGGGAGTCAGTTATGTGTGCACGGTGAT